TTCCTGTCCACACCATAATAAAACAGTTTGTATCCCCCTCCAATGCTATGCGCTTTGCTACCCTTCCACCTGGTCTCCTGCACATACAGTATATCTACCCTCCTCTCCATCATGTCTGCCAGCTCTCTACCTTTCCCTGTCATTGTGCCAATGTTAAGAGTCCCTATTCTCAGACCTATACTCCTGCCTTTCCTCTTCTCTCTCTGTCTACGAATCCTTCTACCTCCTCTCCTTCTTTGACCGACAGTAGTCCAATTTCTGCCAGCACCCTGTAGGTCAACAGCACTGGTGGCGGTCGTTGTTAACCCGGGCCTCGACCGATCCGGTATAGAATTTGCACTGATGATTCGCATGTTTAAATTTGGCATGTTTTTACGCCAGATGCCCTTCCTGACGCAACCCTCTCTATTTATCCGGGCTTGGGACCGGCACAGAAGTCATTGGCTTGCAACCTTTGTGACTAGATTCTCGGGTCAGATTTGGCTGTGTAGGAAAAATAGGTATAATTGCAGGTGTAAATGAATCCATGCTTTTTCTTTAGTGTAGACTAATTTAATGTGCTTGGCCTATTAAAAATTAAAATGATGAGCTGGTTAAGTGCAGGACAGCACTATATTAGATACAGGAGGGCCATAGAAAAATACCACACAAACTCAAATGCTTTGAGCTCTGCTCAGCTTTGGACATGAAATACACCACACTCTCCGGCTCTGTTCAGCTATGTGGCCTGAACCGTACTCTAGTGTAGGATTAGGCGAAGTACTTCTATCTCGATGACTCTCCCCCACTCTGTTTCAAAGTGGTTTTGGATGGAGAGGGAAAGGCAGGCACTGGCTGGCACGTGCCATTCGGGCCATCCGAGACTATATGCCATTGGTGAGTAAAACAGAGTAATTCATTGTTAAAAATTGGGGCTTAGATTTGGTTGGGGGTTAAGTAACCTAAGGTTAATCTGATCCTCCTTGTGGTTGGTGGGTAGGATTAGGATAATGATTCAGCAGAGAGATAGTTCTTTTCTTTTAGGATTAGGGTAAAGGCATGTAGTTGTGATGGTTCGGTTTAGGATTAGGGGTTATGAAATGCATTGTGTCAATGAGTGTTGTCACAAAGATACAGTAGCTGTACAAATATATGTGTGTGTACAGCAGAATGATCAAGCATCCTGAAGCACCTTTTATTGGATCTCACCAAACGAATACAACCCCACCACCCCATCTTTTACTACAGACAACTGCCACATGCTGGTATGGAGATTTATTTCTCTCACTCAGGCACAGAACATACATGCTAGTTAGCAGTTTGCTGTAGTCTTGAGGTGTGTTCACCGACGAAGGCAATGTGAGGCAAAGTGACAGCCGGCCTTCATCCCTGCTAGTTCTTTGATGTCAGATTGGTGTGCCTCTGTGTATCATCTCTGTGGTTCGGCACAGAGAGATGAACAGAACTATGCTGTGTGGCAATTTTGGCACGGTCTTAGTTACATGACACCCTGGGATCCAGAAACACTTTTTTCCATAGATATTCATACCAAAAGAAAATTTCCTGATCATGACACACACTCAGAATTTCATTTAAAA